GTCTAAAGCGCCAACTGTTGAAGAGGTTCAGCATGCTGTTTTTAGTTTGCCTAGAGACAGTCCACCTGGCCTGAAGGCTATCATGCTCATTTTTTCTGAAAATACTGGGATTTAGTTGGTCATGATCTCTTTGACATGGTGCTGCACTTTTAGGATTCTAAATTTATACTCAAAAGTATTAACAAACTCACGTCATACTTATTCTTAAAGGGCTGCAGGTTCAAACAGTGGGTGACTTCAGACCAGTAAGACTTTGCAATGTTTCCTATAAAATAATATCGAAGTTGCTTCGTATTCGGCTCAAAGATGCAATGCCTGATCTTATCTCTACATTTCAAAGTGCTTTTTTGCTAAATAGGCTTGTCTCTGATAATATTTTACTCGTGGAAAAACTCACGCATCAAGTCCATTCTTCTAATGCTAATAGAAAGAAGATTGCTGCTTTAAAAGTTGATTTCTCAAAAGCTTTCGATAGGCTCTCTTGGAGTTTTATTGACGCCGTTTTGATCAAAATGAATTTTCCTTGTAAATTAATAAATCTCATTATGCAGAGCATCACATCTGTCCAATACTATCTGAGGTAATGGAAATTTCTGTGAAACCATTTTTCCTTGCCATGGTTTGAGGCAAGGAGATCCACTTTCCGCCTATCTGTATGCTTTGGTAGCAAATGTGATTTATGCATTAATCTCGCATTATGAAGAATTTGGATTGTTGAAAGGAATTAAAATATGTGCTGGTGCTTCCTCTGTATCACATTTGTTATTTGCAGATGATTCCTTGTTTTTCTTTGAGGTTAACCACTATTTGGGTTTCAAAGTTGTCCTAGCTACATACTACAAATGGCCTGGTCAAGTTATAAACGTTGGGAAATCTTCTGTTATTTGCAGCCCTAATCTGAAGTCTGATTTCATCTTCGAAATGACTGCTGATTTGGTTGTCCCTCTCTCAGATGAACTTGGAAAATATCTTGGTACCTGGATTGATATTAAGAGGAACAAATCAGTTATTTACTCGTACATTCTAAACTCTGTTAAGAACAAGATCAATTCTTGGAGGTGTAAGTTGTTATCTCAAGCTTCAAGGTTAACTCTAATAAACTCAATTATGCCTTTCTCTTGTATTTACATCCCATCTTGTATTAAGCTGTCGAAATCCATATGCAATGCAATTGATTCTGTGTGTGTGTGTGTGTGTGTGTGTGTGTGTGTGTGTGTTTTGGAGAATCCAATCATTCCAAGCGAATGCATTTGAAAAGTAAGAAAGTTCTTTTTGCTCCTATTGCACAAGGAGGCTTGGGTGTTAGATCCACTGCTCAAGTAAATAAATCTCTTTTGGCAAAGCAGTTGTGGAGTGTAATATCTGCGAGAAAGATTGCTCCTTACTAGGATCTACCTTAAAAGCAAAGTTCGTTAACACAAACTCTCAAGTTATCATCAAGAAACCATTTAATGTTTCATGGATGTGGCAAGGAATTTATACTTCATTGGACTTATCATTCCTAATTTATCATGGCAAATTGGTTCTGGTAACTCTGTCTCTCTACATCATCCTCTGTGGTACAAACCTAATTCGCTTAACCTTTTGGCAACTACCAATTCTCTTGATACAGCCACTCTTACGGTCAGTGATATGATACTTAAATGTTCGGTTGGTTAGTTAAAGAAACAATGGAACAAACAGCGCATTCAATCGCTCTATGATCAACGTGTCTCAGATTTAATTTTGAAGATTTCACTATTTTTCCTTCAATCTTGTGACAAGATAGTCTGGTCAGCCTGCAACAACCATTCTATAGTTTATTCTGCGCAATAAGGGTATGCACTTCTATCTTTTACTCAAGATAATACTTCTCAATTAGCAAATTCCCTATTAGAAACTTTTTTGGAAGTTGCATCTACCTATGAACCACATTCTCCTCGTGTGGAAAATTTTACGTAAAGCTCTCCTAACTGCTGATATCTTACGAGAGCATCATCTTTCAACCAACACTTTTTGTCCTTTTGGCTGTGATAAAGAGGAATCACTTGATCATATATTCTGGAGCTGTGACTTCTCAAGAGCTCTTTGGTTTGGTTGTTGAAATATCCATACTTCTAGGTTTGAAGGCTCAACTATTGACAATTGGTTCCTTAACCTTTTGTCCCTACTCTTCTGTGAGTGTAGCACAAAGGAATTGGGGAAAATTTTCATTCTTCTGAATATTCTCTGGTACTAGCGCGACAACTCTATTCATCAGGGGAATCAACCAAATGCTGAGAGATTAATTGAAGTCTCTGGGGTCAATATCATTATCTCACTTAGATATGCCAATGGAATGAACCCTTGAACTTCTCTGTAATTCCCAGAACCCCTTTTGACAGCAACTCTTTACAGCAAGTGGTCAATATTGTTACATAAGGTCAAGGTGTAGAAGCAGAGTTCTTGCAAGGTTGCTGTTCTTACTAACTCATCTCTTTTAAATGGTTTGACTTTTAAAAAGTTTACTCAGGATATTACGTCTGAGAGCAGCCCTTTGGTGGATTATAAATTTTTGTTCTGCTCATAATGCCATGAATGAAGGAATTCAGATCTATTGCGTAAAGAAATATTTTATCTCCTCTACATCAACGAAGAAGCAATCTTCAAACCCTGTTCTTCAAGATATTTATGGTCCCCTCGTGAACTTCAATCAGCATAGCTTTAATATCATTGAGGCAGGCTTGCTCTTTCACATTTGTAGTTTTTCTCCTTGGCTATTTACCTCCGTTATGAGGTTATGACTTTTTATTGTAAATATTATCTTTTATTAATATATATTTGATCTTTTTATTAAAAAAATAGAAATCATAAGATTGAGCAGCCCATAAAGGTAAAGCTCATCTTTATTATAAAAGCCACGTTTTCATCAGGTTTTGACCGTACTAAAGCAGGCATCCTATTTTATTTAATTGAAATCGTGTATCAAATCTTCTGAATATCTTCCAATAGCATGTTAATGGGGATAAAACAACAGCCCACTAATAAAAATAGACGCGGTAACACTTTTCTTTTGAAATTCTTTCAATTGTTTTTTTAAATGTGATGTACATATACTAAAAGGTAATATTACAAGATTTGGAATTTTAATTTCGTTAAAAAAATTATCGCAATGCTCTCTCCATGCTATATTATAAGATAATGTTAGAGAAATTTTTTTTATTACAAAATACAATACAATTTAAAAAAAAATAAAAATTTATTAATGATATTTTTTAATATTATTCTTGAAGTGGACAAAGAATTAAAATGATATTGTAGTGTAAATGTGTAATGATTAAGTGTGTAAGAACATTTTTAAAAGTTTATAGTTTTGTTTTGAATAAGTGAATTTATAATTGTGATTGTTGATATATGTAATGTTATCTTAAATTATCTTATAATTAAAAATGAAAGGAGCATATATTGAAAATAGACTTTACCTATTTAACTCGTCGAAGCATGCCAATAAAAAATTTACATAATTCATATGCTAAAATAAATTTTATCTGATTAACTAGGTTTTACGCCCGCTTCTCTTCTCCACTTACTCAAACTCGTATGTCAGTCAGCTAAGTAATTTCAATTTGGAAAATCTGGGAAGCCAGAAACTTAAGAATTTTCACTGATGAATCTTGCACTCCTGAAAGTGTCTTGCGCCAAGCTCGGACCATTGTTGATCATACCATCAAAACGTTTAATCTTTTCTCATCTCTGATGTAATTGTTTCTTTTCTTGCTAGCTGTTGTTTTATTCTTTCCTTCTCTGTACAGCTTGTACCCCTGTTAGTTTATTTCTTTTAATGAAACTTTTCTTTCACCCAAAAAAAGAAATTTCAATTTTAATTCTCCAAGACATGATGAACTAATATTTAACAAAATATATTGCACAGATATGACACGTCATTCAACAAAGTTTTTTCAATGAAAGCGTCCCTTGTTTTTGCCGGGTTTAATTATAGCATTCTTAAAGCCAATAAAATTTCACTTAATTTTTTAATTCACTTGTCTAATTAGGAAACTTATACACTTTTTCTTGTGTTGTTCCAGAATCATCAATCCAGCTTTTGTCATTAACGTGTCGTTAGTTTTGCACATTCGGTCCGTCACCGTGTGTCGACGCACCAAATAAACATAACTAGCGTTAATTTATAAAATTTGCCAAGCATAACCAATTTCAATATCAAATAGTATAAAATGTAGAACTCATATCAAACTCTTCTGACAGCGACTACTTAGTTAGCAATTAGCATTACGAAAAAGTACACGGTAGTCAATATTACTTTATCATTTATTTTCATCCCTGTCGTTACTATTTGTCCCCGTTGACGTTGATGACGTTCTAACTAAAAAAAAATGTAAATTTAAACAAGCCATGAAAGATCCAATCATTGGTTAAATAAAAGAGTAGTCATATTAGACAATTAATTAATTAAAAAGAGAGTTCTGAAGTCCTGTTTCAACGCTATTTAACCCCCCCCCCCAAAAAAAAAAAGAGAGTTCTGAAAAGTATACGTATATAGCAAGGCAACTGCCGGATGACTCCTTTGGCTGGACGGGTAATATTTATTAACTCTCAGGTGAAAGTTTTTGTGGTGTTTGAATTAATCCTAAAAAATTATTTTTAATCTGTTACATAAAAATTCGCATATTAATCCGTTCGACCAGAAAAAAACAGTAATTCTGCTTCAAACACTATTTCTTATTGCACCGTGATTTTCTCATGCAATAATAAAACACAATGATTTCTTACGAAAATAAAAGCATGATAATTGTACTAAATGTAAATGATTTTTTCCCCTTTTAACTGGAGAATAAAAAAGAAAACGTTAGGATGGTTCCTACGGGGCTGTGAAGGGAAGCCGACTCTCAAAAGCCGATGATGGGGTAGGGCCGACGGAGCAATTTAATATTTATTAATTAAATTAATAAATAAATTATACATTTATAAAATGTCGGCCTACCCAACCCTAGTTAATTGAACCAGAGCCCAGCTGCTCATGCGGACCGCTCGTGAAGCCTTAAGTACCACGGGATGGAGCGTCGGTGACTCGGTTTTGGACTCGTGCGAGTTAAGAGCGATTGGCATATAAAGCATGGAATCCCGGAGCAATGCTTGCGCCAATTGAGACTTGAGGGAGACAAGAGAGAGGGGGAGAGAGAGAGAGAGACAGTAAAAGGAGAGAGGAATGGTGGATTCTAACGATTCAGTGTCGGTGGATATTGACGCGATCTCTCCCAAGGCTAAGGTATTGCATTTCATGCATGTATATTACACTTTCAGATGGTAATTGATGCACTTCCTTTGACTGTCTGTGTGCTGAGGAAATTGTTGGAATGAAGCATTGAATTCTGGAAGCAATGTGAAAAGGCTACGGTTGCAATTATGCAATAGGAGTTTGTTTTCCTGCATTCAGCTTCTTGAATGAGCTTTGTGAAATCTCCTGGTTCTCTTTATATGTTATTTGCTAAGTAACTTTTTCTTTTTTGTTTTTTCCTGCTCTATGAATTCTAGCTATTATGAATCTCAAGAAATTTTACTGGCTTTTATTTGATTGTTCTAGAGTTGGTGTGTTAGCCTCATTCTAAGTACATCGTTGTGTTCACTGCATTTCTTTCCGTGGAGTGTTGTTATTGCTTTTGGTTTTGCGTTAAAAAAAAAATGGCTTCAGCATTTCTGACTAACGTCCCAACCTGTTCGCTTTGTCCTCTGCTCACTGAGAGTACCATCCCTATATCATTCTGCCCCATTGGAGAGATTTTTATAACTCATGTTCCTCACTGGCTGGACTAACCTGGATATAGCAAAAAGGAAATTCTTAGTTCTCTTTGGTCCTCATGGTTTTCGATTCTGATCACATAGAAGCGCTCCTTATTTCATTCATTTATCTATATCCGGCATTGACTTGTTCATTTTAATATATATATATATATATGGCAGTATAAAGTTTTGGTTTATTGTTTTAAGTTTCTAACATATAGGTGCAGACTACAAAAAAACAAAAAATATTTCATATATGGGTTTGGCAGGATTGGTGTCCCATAAAAGTTAAAAAAGAATGGCATAACTCCCCATAATCTCATTTCATTATTTTGAAATCAAATTACATGTTACCTAAACATTGTAAAATCAATGAAGAGTATTGATAGCTCACATGTTTACAACCCAGGTCTTTGTAATTAAGGGGAATTTGATGTGTTTGGATTCTGTCATCGATATTTATTTAAAATTTCTTAGTTCTTACTCAAGGTACCCTTAACGTGCAATCTCCAAACCCAGGATTTGCCTGAGATTCTCTCCTTTTTGTGTTGAATTACTTATTAACGTGCTACTCCTTCCGTTCCATTGCATGCGGCATCCGTTAGTATCCACGTTTTGTTCTTCTTCTTCTTGATTTTTTTTTTTTTGGTGCCTATTTATGTGAGTGAAACTAAATTATTTGGACGTTTTTGTTGCACATGATGAATACTCGTACATCTTTATAACTGATTTTTCTCTTCCCCTTTTGTGCACCCCCCAAAGGGGGTGGGAGGGGGAGTGTTATCACACTTGATGTCTTGTCTATTCTAATTAACCTTGTTAGTGGTTGCTGGTTAACTTCCTTCTGAAATATCTCTGCAGGAACATGTTGTAAGGACACGTCATGGTTCTGTCTCTGTTTCTGTGTACGGAGACCAGGACAAGCCAGCACTTATAACTTATCCTGATTTAGCTTTAAACTGTAAGTTAATCAGATTTTGGGTTATAGTTTAAGCCCCTTGGTTTCCTCTTATTTTACCACAGAAACATTGTTTTAACAGATTTAATTTGACCATTATTATATCAGTATGTAAAAGTAATGACTATAGTTTTAGAAATCTGAGAGGTTTGAGTAATTAAAGTTGTGCCATTATATTTATAAGAAATTTGAATATGTATTATTTCATCTTTTTTCTTTTCTTTCTTTTTTTTTTTCCTTTTAAAGTAATGATTGAATATCCCATCAAGGTTTTTGCTTTCTGGAAAGTTTATGGTTACTTTTAAAAGATTTATACATCGTATATTAAAACATGAATGTTCTGTTGTGTCTTTTATTAAAAGGTTTTGTGGATTTTTGACATCGTGTTTTTGTGGACAAACTAACAATTTAACCTTTTGCTTTATCAGATGTCTCTTGCTTTCAGGGGTTCTTGTTTTGTCCTGAAGCGTATTCCTTGCTGCTGCACAATTTCTGCATATATCATATAAGTCCTCCCGGGCATGAGGTCTCTAGCTTTATGTCTTGAAGTGATCAAGTTGCTTGATATTTGTGTCTCAACTCTCCACTGTTATAATTGTCTTTATTTCTTCATGTTATAATTTATCCAGTTCCTTATCTCGTACTTTTTTGAGAGCTATTGCAGTTGGGAGCTGCTGCAATTGATCCTGACGACCCGGTGCTTTCAGTTGATGACTTGGCTGATCAGATAGCTGAGGTTCTAAATTTTTTTGAGTGAGTACATTTAATCTTAATCAGCAATTGTTTTCTGTTCAGTATGGTTAATATTCGTGGTTTCATTTACAACATCTGTAACTTATGGAATAGATTGAAAGCAAAGGTTTTGTAGTTTTTTTTACAAATGAGCCTAGAAGCTGATCTCCTTTCCTTCATCTTAGGAACGGAATCTGACCTTTGCTCTCCCTCCCTCCCTCCCTCCCTCCCTCCCTCCCTCCCTTTCTCTCTATACAGTCTCAGTGCCGTCATGTGCATGGGAGTAACTGCAGGGGCTTACATCCTTACCTTATTTGCTGTAAGTTGTTGTATTACTCTGCAGTTTCTTATTCTGCCAATTGGCTTTGGGTTTCAATAATGGAAGTTTTCTGATCCTTCTAACTCTTGACAATAGATGAAGTATAGACAACATGTCCTTGGTTTGATACTCATTTCTCCTCTTTGTAAAGCACCATCTTGGACAGAATGGTTGTACAACAAGGTTCTTTTTCTAAACCTAGAAAACCATCTAATATAAATATATTTTGCCATTTGCTGGAGATTTTTTATTCAATATTTTCAGGTGATGTCAAAGTTGCTCTACTTTTACGGCATGTGTGGGTTGGTAAAGGAATTATTGCTGAAGCGGTACTTTAGCAAGGTTTGCTTATGCTTCCAAAAGCATTATTCTATTACCTGTTTTCAGTGAGTTTGAATCACTTAATTATAAATTGGGATGATAGGAAGTTCGAGGGTGTGCTCAATTACCAGAGTCAGACATAGTTCAAGCATGCCGAAGGGTTAGTCCTGTTATTTTTTGCTCTTTCCACATATACAATAAGCTGCTGCTTGAGGAGATTATGTGATAAATGACAACTGTTAATTGAAAGTTGAACGTATGTCTGATTCTGTTTAAAATTTGTTTTTGACAGTCATTGGATGAGAGACAGAGTTTGAATGTTTGGAGATTCCTGGAAGCTATTAATGGGTAAGATGCACATCAAAATAGCAGCTGTCTTCCCAGTGAATAATGACTTCCGCTGTCTCTCTTTTTAGTGTTGGTAACTCGGGGGAGTCTGCATTTGTCTTCGAGATATCAACAATTCACGAGTTGCAGCATTCTGAGTATATTTTGTAGCATGCGTGGCTCTGATAATTTACCAATTATAATTGCCAAATGAACATGCCAACACAAGATGTAGTTTGGGAAAATTTTGAACACGAGAATGCGATGTTGCCTATAGCTTAGGAGCACATGTCCTTATATATATATATTGGCATCTTGCAGGAGATCCGACATAGGTGAAGGATTGAGAAAATTGCAGTGTCGTTCCCTAATTTTCATTGGTGATATGTCTCCATTTTACGCTGATTCTCTCCATATGACTTCAAAGTTGGATAGACGATTCAGTGCCTTGGTTGAGGTGTGTAAAATAGTTTCATTCCATCTTAGTCTATATGATGAGATCGTCTGTTTAACGAAATGAATTAGATTCACTGTTTTTTTTTTTTTTTTTTTGGAACTGCAGGTTCAAGCATGTGGATCAATGGTAACAGAGGAACAGCCTCATGCTATGTTAATACCAATGGAATACTTTCTCATGGGTTATGGCTTGTACCGACCATCCAAGCCGAGTGTGAGCCCAAGAAGTCCCTTGAGTCCATCGTGGATTTCTCCCGAACTTTATTCACCTGAGAGTATGGGTTTGAAATTGAAACCAATAAAAACACGGCTCTCTGTGGAAATCTAAAAGTTGGATGAATTTGCCAATTTGCTGCTCTTTCTCATGTTTGTTGTATGAGTTTGTAATTTTGTGGCTGGTGAGAAGGCTGGTGAATAGTGGATGCAGAGTATTGTACATAGGGAGAGGAGTTAGGAAATCGAGGCAAGAGACTCGGGAAGAGGTTAGTTGAAAAGCAGATACAGTCATTCTTTCATTTGTAATCATAGATATTAGTTAACATGTCTGAATAGGTGGGGGGTCAAGTTTCGGAGTTATTATCTGGATAAATAAAACAGTAAAGGCCTGATTTTACATTTGTAAAGCAAACATGGAGATCGAGGGTATTGTAATTCCTGTTCAATTTTATTGTCCCGTACTCCCTTGTATCATGTTGATGGCATATTCAGTGTCGGCACATATTTTTTTCTTTTTTAATATACCTGTTGTCACCATCTTTAGTTGCTATCTGACGTTTGAACGAACATGATTTGATTCGATGTGGACGCCACAGGAGCAAGACAAATCAAGGAGACAAGATTTGAAGAGGTTAGAAAATCTCAATATTTCGAATCAAGTCATTTACGAAGAATTTTTTAGCACGAAATTATATGTTCAATTACCAAAGTTTCGTCCCCAAATAAGAAACTGCCAAAGGCAATATTAAACTTAGGGAGAATGACAATTAAGGGCCTTTGAAAAATATCAAGAAACTTTCACAACTAAAACACCAGAAATTTACCACTGAAACATCAGAAATTTACAATTCGAAGATCTTTATTTTGTATTAATTTTCTTAAGGGTCTTTATTTGTCATTTTTTCTTAGATTTATGGGTACAAGAAATCGCCCCGGAAAGCACTAGAGAATCCCTCTAGCAGTTTCTCCCGCCGCTTTCGAAAAGTGCAAATTAAACTTCGTAGTGTCCTCAATCGAAAACCTAGCGAAGAAACGCAGGAAATAGTGGAGTTTCAGTGTCTCACCTTTGAGGGATGAATGACGCCATGAATCCATGTTTTGACTTTACGAATTTCAGGAAGGTCAATAAAACTTAATTAACTCGACAAAATAGATTGGCCAAAGAAAGAGAGGGGTTAATCCAAACTAAGCAACATGGATGTAATAGTGTTCTTTACTGATATTCTATTGTGTTTTGGTACAAGTCTTGGACCTCCATAACTCCATTAGTGGAAGCCTACTTTTCAAAAAGGAAACTCCATTCCACCCTGGCATCCAACCACACACAGCATTATGCACAGCTCCGGGAATCAAAAAGATACTTTCTAGCTTTTAGTTTCTTCATGTTGTTACGCCACTTTCTTTACTTTCAATTGATAGTAAATCTTTGATTGCTCAAGCTTATCCTGCTGCTTCTATGGCTGTTCTGCGCGCCTTCTTCACTTCGAAGAGTCTTTCTTTTGTTCATTTCAGTGTACATTTCCTCGATCAAGGGTTTCCATAGCCTTACACGAGCATTAATGAACCAATTGGATACCTTGCCGTCCACCAAATATATATCAGCATTCAGATCACGCAAGTTTCCAAACAGCTTAAACCACTAAAAAGGAATTTCGGTCAAGCGGGATGAAGTAGCAGCACGTACCTGACTTCTAGTCAATCCACTTTTCACTGCAAGTAATTGCTTCTCTGCATCTTTAGGATACCTACAATCCATCACACTAAATTCACAAGAGCACAGCCTCCATATGCAATATTATTGTTAGTGACAACTGGTAAACAAGAAAACTCACGGATGAAGGAAGTTCTGAAACATCCAAGCCCGTAGAACTGAGACAGATCGTTCAGGCAAGCCCCTTTGGGGTCTCCATAACTGATGCTCTTTTCTTTTCAATTGCTGCAGAGCCCAATGCTTTTCGATGAACAAAGCTTCTGTAGACCTTTCCTTCTCTTCTTCAGAGTGTAAGTTGTTAAATTTTTCTCCCATAGCAAGAATATAATTGCTTATCCTGTCACGCATATCCTTGTACAACGTAGAGATTGTTTGAAGGGCAAAACGAGCATGAACTTGAGGGTCCAACTCTGTAGCAGCATGAAATGCGGATACAACAGTATGTATCTCATCCAAACACTGATTATACCGACTGTCCACCTGTGTTAGAAACAAGTATAATTATTACTCTGTGAACTTCGATTCTGGAAAAGGGAAAGTCAAGATCAAATGATGTAATGGCAGAATGTTCCATCTTACCAGTTGTAGAAGTGTCAGAAGCTGGGATTTCTTTGATTCAGCAGCATCGTGCCTTGCCAATGAAGAATTCACTTGAGCTTCAAACATAGAATCTGCATGGGGATTATTTGTCGCTGTCATTCTCCTGGATGGAGGAGCTGAGCTTGACGCATTCCCTCCTGCTCTGGCTCTACTACAAGCAGCTGAACAATTTGTCTGCTCTACATTTTCAAGTGAATACCTTGCAATTTGAGCAAGTATTTCTTGAATCCCACTAAGATATCTGGACCCCAATATTGCTTGTGAAAAATTCACACGTCTATTGGAACATAAACTCCTAGAAACCCCCCCATCGCTACAGGAGGCTAGTTCGAAGCTATCAGAACTCACCTCCGACCGCTGACCAGGGGGAGGAGATGATGCTAGACTCAATGAAAGCTCATTCCTGAAATTAGGGAATTCATAAGCATGACAGGCCAAGTTTGCAACATTTGATGACGTCCATCCATTTGGATCCAGGCTTGCTGCGGACGAATAAGTCTGGAACCTGGTACCAGGTACTTCATCATACCGACGATCTCCAAAAGTTGGAAGCGAAGTATTTGAATTATCCTGCCAACTGTTTAACATATATGGTGCCAGTGCCTCCAATGAAAAGACTGAAGGAGACAAAGCCGCTGATTTCTCTAAGTTTTCTTGAAGTCCAAATCTTGCAGCAAGAATGGCAGCAAGTGAAGCAGGAGAGATAGTGGCTCCAGCTGAATGATCTTGAAACTGACTGTTGTTTCGGGGAGATGGGTTTCCAAGTGGGGTATCTCCTACAATGTTCTTTCCTTGCGATGGAACAAAGGAATTAGGATGAGCAATGCAGGCAGGATTCATTATAGGAGCATCCGAATGGACAATACTTATGAGTTCACCTTGGACTCCAGCAAGCATTGAAATTCCATTCATGATTCGGGTTTGGTCATTATGGTAAAATGAATAGCCCTGAAAGACTGGATTAGGTGTTTGTGGAATTTCATCTATGACAGTGCCGCTACGGCCAGCCATGTCCATTGGAGCACCAAACATATCATTCTCCATCGACATAGCAATGAAATGAAAGCACTGCAGTATCACTCTGTTTGAATTCTAAGGAGTGTTCTCTTCGCTCTCTTTAAGAAAATGCATGCTTAATATAGTTATATATACCAAGCCGTGCCAATGCTAGCCATAAAATGAGATATACGAGTACATGACTCTTCAGCGTCCTAAATCAATAGAGCATCCTTTCAAAGTTCGAAGTTGGAACTACAATGAAATATGAAAGATGAAAAATTGATGAAGGATTGGGCTGAGACAAATGTCAGCAAGAGGAAGCAGCGTGCGGTCACAACGATGCACGTGAGCCCAAGTTCACAGCCTACCTTGCCTTAATCCTGGCAAACCAAAGTCTACCAAATATTTCACAGCTGATTGCCAATATATGGAGCTATCTAGCGAGAACCTGTTAACAAAAAATACCGAGAAAAAGTTAGAAATGTCTGTAAAGAACTACGATATTTTGTTCTAAAACAAGAAAAAGAGCCAACCAGAAGTAACCATATTTAAACCAAGAAGGCCAATACCATAAGTGCGCTGATTTCTTTACATGAAAGAAACTTTTCATTTCCTTCAAGAACCCAGGACCCAAAAAACGAGACTCTTATTTTCAGACCCCATTAAACCCAGAGCATGTACTGATCTTGCAACAAATAGAGTATTCCAAATTTAATGGGAAGAAGGGTGTTTACTTGTTCAATTGAATGGACAGGGGAAAACAGAGAAAAGGAGCTATCAATAGGGACAGAGAGAACGAGACGAACAAGGGCCACAAAAGAAGTAATAATAAAAGAAAGAAACAAGAAAGGAGGGAGAGTGGGGGGAAGGAGAAAACACATCGCCCTGTGGTGCAGCGTCACTCATTTCTGTTGCAGGCTTTACTGGGCCCATCTCTCTCTCTCTCTCTCTCTCTCTCTCATGTCTTTTGTCCTCCATTGCCACCTCCTATTATCTGCTTCTCTGCAATCATCGCAATCAAAACATCTGGATTCTCTCTGTTCCAACTTTTGTTCATGTCAGGGGCTCTCAGAAACATTTTTCAGACAAAGCCCCTTACTCTCAAGCCTATTTATAAAGAAAACAAGGTAGTGTGATAAGAAAGATGAGTGAATGGAGTTAAAAAGTCCCATGCTTTCTCTTCGTTGTGTAACAAGTAAAAGCACAAGGCAATTGATATGTGAAAGGAAAGATAAAAGGAAACACTGGCAGTGTACTTTTCTCGGGAGTGGGCAAACCGAGAGAACAAGCAATGACGTAAGCAGGGCCAAAAATGACGACAAATTTTTTTTGGATGGACGATCTATGACGAATTATTAGTAATTTTTTTTTTATAGTAGTTTATAGACTCTATGGCCTACTTTCCTACTCTGTCTGCCGTACGATCCTATCCTGTGCTACGGCTGTAAGCATTGTGTTGTGTATATTGGCTACTTATAATAACCCGACCTGTCTTCCCAATCCTCAGTGTGGAAACAGAGGCACCAGGCTGTGTATATATTGGTGTTCTGGCATCATGTTGCAACTCTCATATAGTCTTCGTCGTGAGATCCCGTTAAAACTTTTTCTTCTTCTCTCTTCATGGCCAGAGATCTTGCTAAACTCTTGTTTTATACAAGTTCACAGAAAAGCCATTCAGAGAATGCAAGTGACAAGGACATGTCATCAACCGAAAGCTTGTTGCACTTCATAGGAGAGCTACTATTCATCCTGATTCCTGACATTGATACTCTTGTGGGCTTGGAAAGCAAGCCTCCCCTCATTTTTGTTCGTCTCTATGAAAACACGATGCAAAGTAATTGTTCAGTTTTTGATACCAAAAAAACAAAAAATTCTTATTCTTTCTATGATATACTCCTCGAAGGGTGATTCTGGGCACGTTCACGTTGGATGAGATTAATAGCTTTCGTTGAATCACACTGTACGTTAGCTTTCATGTCGTTTTTAGGACGAACATTTTCCAAAGGTACAAGCCTATTTGGTTTTTATTCTTATTTTTTATTTTTAAAATTTTTTTTTGCAATATAATTTTTAAAATTATTTTTAAAATAAAAGAAAAGAAAAATTAGTTTAGTTGTGCTAATTTAAAAATAATTTTTAATTTAAGAATCAATTAATAATGATAGTCAACAGCAATTAATAGTAATGACTTATGATAACTATTAGTTAAGATGATATAACTATAGTTTTTAATAATCAAATGTAATATATTTTAAAAAATAAAATAAATTTTAAGATGTTTCTATTTATTTGTTATTAAAAATAAAAAATAAAAATAATTTTAAAAATAATTAAATTCAAAATACTCCTCCAAACTAGGGGTGTTTACGGGACAGAACGGGACCGGGACACCCCCGTCCCGTGTCCCGTCCCGAGAAAAAGATCGGGACTGAATTTTGGTCCCGTGTCCCGTCCCGTCCCGAAAGTCGTCCCGTCCCGTTAAGAGTCGGGACGGACCGGGACAAGATCGGGACGTCCCGCCGTCCCGATAAATGAAATAATATCGAAAAAAGATTGGATAATAACATTTATTAAAATTTTAAATCATATAATTTATTAAGTTTAAAATCAAAACAACACAAGTACATAAATAACAATAATTTAAAATCAATTATTGAATCATATTAATCATAACTACACATTATAATAATAAACACAAATGATCTTTATACTATAAGATTAGTAACAATAGACAAGTCAAACATAACATCAAATCATTGTTCTTCTACTTTAGTGAAGATGTACTAAGCTAATTACTCTTCTAAAAATAAGCAAAAAATACATTGTAAATAAAAGTTATTAAATAGATATATATAAGAATAAATTATATTAATATAATTAATATATTATAAAGAAAGATATTGCCATGTTTACTCCATGCCATTAAATTTATCAATATAAAAAAACTTTAGTTTTAAATAAGAATTGTAAGTATTAAAATTATAATTGATATAAGTATAAATTATATTAATATAATTAATATATTTAAAATAAAAAATAATATATATAATATTCGGGACGGGACGGGACGTCCCGATGGTAATCCCGTGTCCCGTCCCGTCCCGAACCTCTTTCCTGTCCCGTCCCGTAAAGTCCCGTCCCGATTATTTTTGGGCCGGGACAAGACCCGTCCGATATGATCGGGACGATACCGGGCCAATCGGGACGGGTCCGGACTGAACACCCCTACTCCAAACAACTTTTTTTTTTGTCTTTAAAAATGAAAAACTGCTTTTAGAAATAGAAGCTAAACAAGACCAAAGATTATGCATCTATTATTCCAGATATCATAATAAACGTGGGCACAGAATCTTTGCTGCGAGGTTCTTCTAATTCTTGATGAGTTCCTTGCTTCATTATTTTGCATTCCATATTATCCAATTATTTAACGGTTATAGAAAAAACCACAATAATTATAACGTTTCATTACTCTTTGCCAGAAATTATTTGCAACCCTGAGCCTGAAGCGTGTGGAGAGAAGAGTCCAAGAATTGTAGCCAAAAGGCAAATTCTTTGTCTAATGCCCGTTTCTTCTTCTTTTTTTTTTTCAACATTGATATTAACTTGGAGTTGATCCCAAGATACAGTTTAAATTTTCTCATACGCGGGTCATCTTCAAATTTTTGTCCAAACACCTGATCTAGTATTATTAGTTTGATTCTCTTTGGCCATGAAAGCAAATCTTATGTGAGAAGTTGCCGTCATTTGAACGTCTCTGGTAGGTCACAGCTTAATCACCGTTGGATATTGTACTTTTAAGCCTTCATGCATTCATTGTCCCGATTTTAGAAACATTGAAAAGGATCAGAATATTAAATAAACCATCGTAATATACTTCAATTTCTTTCCTCAAGTCTTTATTCATTTGAGATAATGTAATGACAAATTATTATGACATTCATGAATAATATGATAATGTCCTCACCATATATAAGAAGAAAGGTTTATTTTTAACAAGTGAATTCATTAACAACCTCATCATGATGAAATGAAGTTGATAGACAAACATGCTTAGGTAAAGGTGGTATTTTTAACAAGTAGACCAATAATTTAGGCCCATAACTTTCACTATTTATTTAAAAATAAGATTCAAATTCAATTAACTTGATAGTGAGCAACAATATTGGCACTTTTTTGATCCTATACAATAGTAAACAATAAATCTCTTAATAAATTTTGAAATTAAGTTTTTTCGACTAAAGATCTCACTTATAATTTCTAGTCTAATACAAATAATTTATTTTATATTATTTTAAACACTAAATTATTAGGCATCTGATTTAAATATAAATTAAGGACTTTATTTAAAAAAATATTCTAACAATAATTTGACCCCTCGTTCTGAATGGAAGGAAAATATGATAGAGAAGAAACTAGGGGGGAAAAGTAAAATAAAAGTATATTCTCTATCATTAGCATAAATTTTTTCTTTTAATTTTTCCCTTCTCTTTAAAAAAAGGGAAAACAATGGTAGAAGAATTTTTTTCCCTCTAATTTTATTTTATCTCCATTTTATTTTCATTTTGAACATAGCGTGAATGTTCATGATGACAAAGGAGACATGCATTAAGATCACAAATGCTTATCCCAATCTTACTCACTACTTGTTTGCTGATGACACAGTACTTTTTTTGCATGCTAATATGAAAAGTTGCAACTTCATCAAAGAGCTTCTTCAATTTTATTATAATGCTTTAGGTTAGAGAATTAACTATGATAAGTCTTCCCTTTTTTTTCTCTGCTAATAACCTGCAAAGTGTAAAGGATGAGGCTTACTCTTTTCTTCATGTTGCTGCTGTGGATAATCCAAGTTCATATCTTGGCCTTCCCATTTTGTGGGAGAGATCAAAAGTGGCAACACTTGCCTATTTTAGAGATAAAGTGGGGAGAAAAGTTCACAGCTAGAAGAGAAAATTTCTTACCTTTACTAGAAGGGAAATCATGATAAAGTCAGCAATAAATGCTACCCCATTTATCTTATGACTTGCTTTAAATTTCCTAGGGAAAAAAAATGTGTCGAACTCAACATCCTGATTGCTAATTTATTTTGGAGGCAATTTAAATCTTGGAATAACATACATTGGAGAGCCAGGGACAAACTCTTTGCTCTAAAAAATAAGGGTGGACTTGGTTTTCAATACTGTATGACTTTCAACGATGCCCCACTCGCTCAAACGGCATGGGTAATCCTTCAAAACCCTCAAGATCTTTGGGCCCAGGTTCTTAAAGCTATTTACTTTTGCTCATCCTTCCTTTTTAGAAGCAAGTCAAGGCCCTCAAACATCTTGGGCATGGAGCGGTATTTTGAAAGCTAAAGATTTTGATGGCCCACATAAAGAGCAGGGAAGCGTGGAGAGCTTGAAGATCCATGAAGGAGTCGTGGTAAGCATTCAAGGAGTCCAAAAGTTCAAGTCCAATGTGCCTAAGGATTCATTACACAGTATAGGAGGCTCAACGACTAAAACCCAAACTAAAGCAATGAAGGAGGCCTGAATTGTCTTATTAAAGATGTCTAAGAGCTTGAACCCATGCTAAAAACGTCCAAAAAGTCCAATGGAGAGAGTCTGCACGTGCTTAGCATTTTAAAGATCTAAGTTCATGAAGATACAAGCCCACATGTCTAAGGTTAGAGCCCTTATATTTTCCCATGTGATGAATATGTGACTCGGAAATTGGGTACGGGTGGAGCACGTTTTTTATGACTTAATTTGAAGAGATATGAGGCATGATCTCCATTGTCTTCTATATTAATTAGGATGTTGGCTTTCGTTAATCTTGGTTTCCTATTTTTGTTTTAGCTTGATTTGCAAGATTAGTTTGTTTCCTACTTTGTTTTTTAGCACGTGCTGATTTTTTTTTTATTGTCTCGCATTTAATAATTGATAAAACTTGGGATTTAAGTATTTAGGTTTAGAAAGAAGCCTAGATGGTCTCCAATTCCATCATTAGAGCTAAATCTTCATGGTTTTGAAAATTTCCCTAATATCTACAAGGGGAGGCACCAACTTTGACTAGTATTTTAGGTTTAGGGCTTCTTTTATGTCTTCCGTTCCTTTGCCTACAAATAGACCTGCTTATGTACTCTTTGAATTGTGTCATGAATGAGAATTTTTTTCTGAAGTTTGGTAAAACTTTGTTATGAGTTGTGCTTGCTTGCAAGAATCATATAATAAATACACGCATGATCAAGAGTTTAATAAACTCTTATGGTATTTTCAAAGATTAAAATTATTAGAGATAGATGCTTTAATTATTATAACCTTGATCGTTATTCTTTCCTTTCAATTATTTTACCATTGTTTCTTCTATTCTCCTTTTCATTGTTTTTTTTTCTCTTTCTTTGTTTCCCAAGTTTTGTCCAGAACATCTACAATTTCTCTTTCACGTCCTGTATTAGAATTCCTACTTAAAGATTCTTGCTATAAGTAGGGTTCAAGTTGTGATATTGGATTCTGGCATGATCCTTGGATTCCTAGACTGCCAACATTTAAAGCTATTCATATCAGTGATAGTGACAATCTTAAAGCTACTGATTTAATTTCTAATGGGGCTTGGAATTTAAATTTTGTTTAGACTTTGGTTACTATAAGAAACTTTTGATTGCATTAAAAATATTCACATCCTTCCTTATCCTACTGTAGATGCTGTTGTTTGGACTGGTGCCAAAAATGGAAAATTTGCAACTAAACTTGGTTATAGGTATGAACATACACGTCAGCACCCTATTGACACATGTTCCAGGCTCTTTAACGTGGTTCCCAACTATCTAATGGAAACAAGTGTAGCAAATTAAAATACATCCTAAAGTTAAGCACTTCCTGTTTGAACCAAAAGAAAAATATTAAGCACTTCCTTTGGGGAGCGTTGCATTGATCTTTGGCAACAAAGGATGCCCTTTGCTCCAGGAAATGTGCTTCTGATATACTTTGCCCAATATGCCAAAAAAGTCCTGAGCATTTACTACTGTTATGTGACTGGTCGAGGAGTATATGGTTTGGTTCTCCAATTTCTTTCATCATGGACCCTATGGATATTACCTCATTTAAGAACTGGTGCAGGCAATTTCTGATTGAGAATACCATCTTGAGTGATTATGATAAAGCAGACATTGCCTCTCTTTGTTGGAATATTTGGAAGACAAGGTCTGCATCAGTTTTCAACGCTGCCACACTTAATCCTGTCCATGTTTTAAGTTTAATTAGCTCGGTTGTGGAAGAATTTTGGAAGATCAACCGCTCTGAGAAGTCTAATATCCCTGTTCATGAGGCTTGCATAGCTGGTTGGATCCCACCTGATAGTGGGATCATTAAAATTACTTGTGATGGGACTCTCTCTCTATCTACTGGTAAGGCTGCAATTGGTGTAATTTGTAGAGATAATTTTGATCATTTCATTAAAGGATGGAGAGAACTAGTGACTGCTGACTCAAGTTTCATGTCCAAGCTTCTTGCTTGCAAGAAGGCCATTATTATTACCTCAGATTTTAGCAATAGCCACGCTCTGATTGAAACTGATTGTTTAGAGTTGTTCAAAGCCTTCTCGTGCAAAGGTACCCCTTTTTTTCCTTGGCCGCTTCATGGTATCGTTGGAGATCTGTTTGCTAGTCCTGAGTTTCTTCCCTTTATCTCCCTCTCGTTTTCTAAACACCGGAAAATTTTGCTGCTAATTGGCTAGCTACGTCTTCCTTTAACTAAAACTTTACCTGTACATAAATGCATCCATTTTTGCGAACCTAGCCCTCTATCATTTGGCGGGTTGAGCCAACTCTAGCTCAATCTTCTTCAACAACCAGTTATTCAGAGAGATAGGAAGGCATTGGTTGATTTCTTTTTTTAAGTTGATGAATACTGTTTTTATTAGGTCTTTGCCTTTTTTGGCTTATGAATTTGTCATTTTCGTTGTTTTGTCTCTCTCTCTCTCGGGTTGTGGAGTCTGTTTTTTCTCCTTTTAATGAAGGATTTTCCAAGGTATTAAAAGAAAAAAAAAAAACAAAGCCTGAATGCTTCTCTCTCTTTTTTTAAATGATTTAGAAAAATTAATATATTCGTTAGATTAAAGTTGGTAATTCAAACTGAACACGACAAACTAGCCGGAACTTACCCAAAAAAGTTAGAGCCAAGTTTAAAAAAAAATATAATTTTTTTATGTTATTTGGGCCAAGCCCGATCAAGTTTAAATTTGACCTGAATACCTGAATAAAAAAATTTATTTTTATAAAATATATTAAATATGATAAATATTAATTAATTAAGTTTTAGGTTATTTTATATGAAAATACTATATATTTGAGTCTTACACATCATTTAAATATTAAAAAAATATATTTTATATTTTTTATAAAATAAAATAATTAATTTTAAAGTAAAAAAATTAATTAAAATGATTTTAAAAATAAAAATTTGAGCATTCAGATCGGAATTGATTATTCAAAGCAAAGCTTTTGAATTTAGGTATGTTTGGATAGAGCAGACCACCTAAATTTTTAGCTCTAAGTTGAATGGCCAGGTGAACTGCGCTGCTGTTAACTGGACCCACGGGCCTCATTAAGTGAAGCAAGACAAAATGACAAATCTCATATCTGATATACATGGAGCTATCTTTAACCTTTTGGACTATAGGCCATCATCATCTGGGGCCATGTGTCGGAGTAGTGCCATCCCTCTTAAATTTCATTCAAGCCCAAAGCCTCCATTGTTTTGTGGGCCCCACTGTGATCAGCCACCGGTTTGATTCATATGGGCCTACTTCACCCAGCCAGGCCCAACAACATTGCTTGGATACAGTGCGTTAAATCAAAGAGCAGACTAATGTCTTGAATATCCTCCAGGGACGCACAACACGTTCATCGTCCATGATTGTGGAGGATTTTAATCTGAATAAATTGCGATCCCTGTCTGGTTTTTTTTTTTGACGATCACCTACTTGTGAAGCATCTGTGAAGGCTGTCTTCAATTGGAATATTCAGAAAAAAATAAGCCGCAAAAGCTGTCCCCAGAAACAGACAGAGAAGAGGGTGAAGACGTGAAGTATTGTTTCATATTCCCATGTTGCTGAAAGGGCAGCTCACAAGATTGTTTACTTTTGCTCGGCTTTGCCTTTGATTCAGGGTTGACATTTTAGCCGCATGAAACTTTTTTTGATTCCGCCTATCTCCACTTCCACTCCTTCGCCCTTTTCCTCTACTTTTTTGTGTTTGGTATCACAGCCACCCATGCAACCTTCACATTTTCTCTACATTTAATAATTTTTACTACTTTTTTTTACTTAAAATATCAAAATTATTTTTCACTTATTTGTTTACTTCCATTCAATCTACGTATCAAGCTTATAAACTTTCTCTCAATTTCCTCAACGATTGAAGCTGAATATAATCCTCACTTATTTTCAAACTACTTTTCCGTATTTGAGACTTGAGTACACGAAAGCCTAAGCCAACGTCCCACCATGAAAACCCAGATGCAATCTTGTCGTTATTTAGTTTATTTTTCTTCTCCTCTTAAATATTTAATATCCATATGTGAGTTAATTTCTAACTGTGGAGAGAATGGACGGCGAATTCAAAGAGGGCCCCCCCCCCCCAAAAAAAAAAAAGACTGTCAAAGAAACGCTTGCGGAGACAGATTGGGGTGCCTGCAGCTGTATACAGCTTTTTAAGATTTATTCCGCCATAAGGAGCTTGAATCAAAATGTAACCGATGCTTACGCTTGCTTAGCCAATAACAATAATAATAAAAAAGTCGTAATCCCTGAGTTATTTTTATAAAGATCTTGAAGTCCAGGACAACGAACTGAAGTTGTCTCCACTCTCAACAAACTAATTAACTAATTTCAAATTTACAAATTACATTAATGCCAAATGTCTAACCAGACACCTATAATATTATATTATCCCGGAAAAGGAAAATGACAAGGAAGTTGCAGCTGTGACCATTACCGGCCGCCGATGAGGTCAAGACTCAAGAACGATGATTGACGGAACACTACAGATCTCACTGTTTAATTAGTCCTGAGGAAGCGGCGTGGCCATGGCCACGATCCCGAGTTTCTGCAGGTTGAGCTTCACAACAGTGTCCACGAACATCTTCGTATCTTCTCCGGTGTTGCCCTCCGGTATGTCCACGATGTACGACTCCAATACGACCGTATATACCGTCCCTTCTTTCTTGAACTCATTCACCGACGTGACGGACCGGTAATTGTTGAGCCGGTGTTCGCCGCCCACAACCCTGAAGCTGAGTATGTGTTTGCTGTCGTCCAAAATCTCGAGCCTCTCGGTGCTTGTCGACGCCGGAAGGCCCGAGACGACGGTGACCTCTCGGATGCTGCCAACGCCGCCGTCACCCTTCATGTTGCAGCTCTTGATGAAGTGCTTGTACTTCTGAGGGTTCTCGAAACTCCGAACGAAAGGCCACACTCTGCGAGCGGGACCGTCGATTCGTTGGGTTATAATGGAAGTGCACGTGTTGGGGGACGGCTCGAATTTGTGGTATTTTTGGATGATGGGTTCAAGTTCTGCGAATTCTTCTGGTGTTAGACCCTGAGGTCGTGCTTCCGAGGCCATGGATGTGTGGGGACTTTAAGCATGCAGAAGAAGAGGAAGAAGAAGAAGAAGAAGCCAAGGAGGAAGAGAAGACGGAGATGGATCAGCAATCATACGAAAGTAATGTGTGAATTTATCTTTGGGCATACGCGTGTGTTTGGTTTTGGACACATGCCCTGGCCGTTGCTGTTTCATTAATGTCACCGAGGACCAATTTGGCGGTCCTCTAATCAGATTTTACCAATTTATTATTGACTCATGAGAGTTATGTGGTGGCCCACTGGCCCATTAGCAGCTTTTGCTATTTGAGGAAACCCCGTCTCTCGACAATCATCTTTTCATTTAATTTAATTCTTTTGTTTTATTTTGACAAATCATCAACCAGGGATTTCATACCTAAGCGGTGATATATAGAATGCATTTTGCCGGGACTTCAAGACACGGTTTTTATTTTAATATGTGATATATAAGATTTGGAGTGCATACGTGCCAATATTGCTTCTTGCAACATACATAACTTCTTTCCTCTGTGAAACACGCAGACTGCCTTTGTCTTTGTCTTTCTTCCAATTTGAGAAAGGATAGATTCACAGTGACGGATTGCATAAAGATAAGCCGAAGGTGATGCTTTTGAGGCCACGTTTCTTTCTGGTCTCTTTCTTCATCAATTAATTAACTAAACGTTGGAAGTACATACTAGTAAGTCGCGTGCTTTCTTTTTCTTCATCTTAATCATTCGTTAATTCCTAGTTCAAAAGTGCCACTGCTGTTAGGAAAGGTACAACGGACAAATTCGTTGTTTCTACTGATTAGTCTCTCACTTTGAACGGGGAAACATCTTAATGTTCATCACATCCTAATATCTCTTTCCATTCTATTCTTAAATCTCTATTATCCGATCTAATTTTTTTCCAAAAAAAAAAAAGGCAGGTGAGTAAGGAAATATAAGTTTCTGTTGCTAAAACCATGATATGCACGATCATAAAATATGAAATGCTACTTCCTATTTTTTAATTACAGGACAGAGTTAACCAATTTTATAGTTAAATATTATTAAATTTATAAAACAATATTTAACTTTCTAATTTTTAATGAAACAATATCACATAGAAACAATAATTTTGTGCAATAGAAGATGTGGGTAATATTTAAAAGAAATAAATATCACATCTTGATCAGTTGATCTTATATTTAAGATAAAATATAAATGTGAAATTATGTTTTAGAACGAGGGGATGGGAGAGTAAAGTGGATAGAGTTAGTTTAACGGAGGGAAAGGAAGGGCTAGGAATGGAAAAAGGAGGGAAGGGAAGGAGCAGAAGTTGAAAAGGGCACAGAGGGGGCGGATCATGTGAGGGAGTCGTAACGGACGGCGTCTCCGCGTGACGTATAATGTAGATATCACTTTGTAGGATTGTGGTCAGGGTTAAAAAATAGGCGGCCTATCTTTAAAAGCTTGGTTTTTAAGTACAATTTTTTTTAAATATCTTATTTTTTTAAAATTTGGCCTTTATATAAAGAATTTAGGATTAAGCCCCTATATTATTATTATTTTTTATTTTTTTAAATTTTTAAAAATTAAAATTTTAAATATAATATTTCATATATTTTTTAAAATACAAATTATAATATTTACAAATTAAAAATAAATAATAAAAATTCTAATCTTGAAGGATAAATATATATTTTAAAGTTTAAATTTAATTTAAAAATTAAAAATATTTTATTTTTTAAGGAACAAATAAAAATAGACTTAAAAGGGTCATCCAAACTTATTTTTTTAAGGTCTATTAAAGCCAGGCTTAAAAGCCTGATTTTTTTTAAAATCTTATTTTTAAAAATTCAAATTTTTATAAAAATGAATTTAAACAGACAATCTTCTAGGTTTGAGGCCTTCACGTGGATCCCCCATCCTTGACCCGTTGCCTATACATATTCCCACCACTTTTTGTTATTTTAGTTACTGCTACTTTAGAGGCACCCCCTCTCCTTCTTCCCCACACTTCTTCCCCACAAAGTTATTACATGAGCCAACAGATTACCTCAAGCTTAACTTGCATCCATGCCTGTGTTTGGTATTAAATATTTTATATTAAATATGTTTAAAAATAATATACTCCATCAAAATAATTTAAGTCATTTGAATATATATCTGACACTAGTAGTCACTCCTCTTCTTTTCCTCTCATTTTGTTTCAACATTTTTGTCTATATAACCGACCTCACTTAATAAAATTTATTGTGTTGACGTCACACTAGGTTGTCTCAATTCAGTAGCACCACCATCTTTCATATCTCAAACTTGATCCCAACATTGACATATTTGATTGTTTAACTTGATTGTAATAAAAAGAAATGTCACATCCTTTTTCTATATTTTTTCTCTAACATGCGTCTCTCTAGATCTCTCCGAGCGTCTGTGTGTATGAGTGCTGGCCTTCGTATGTTGCTCCTTGTACAGTCAAACGGTATTAAAACATTACTGGTATTTATGAAAGCATGAAGATGTGGAGCACCGATAGACAGGGACTTCAAGTGAGAATCAGGAAAGGAATTATTAGTGCAGAAAGCAAGGGTGGTTTTTAATTTAGTGAGAGTCGGAGAGAGAGGAAGTGACACGCATGGACATGGTGTCTGGGCAGAGGGCAGCAAGAGTTGAAGCTCGACGTTAATGTTCGCCGTTTACAAGTTTGAATTTATTATTGAGAAAAGCAGAACATGCATGGAAGAAGGGCACATGTTCCTCGAATTTGTAAATCTTAACCTTCGCTGTTTCCAATCAACGTAGGACCAGCCATCGTTCCCACATGCATTCCTCTGCGCGCCTCCTCTCCGCACCAATCCTCTCTTGTATTATTGGTTTCCAAGAAAATACTAAAAAGCAAATGTCTTGTAATATCACTGGGACAAAGTATGTCGTTTCAGTGAATAATCATTGAAATATCACGCTTCTATTCTGATCTCTTAACTGCTCCCTCCCATCTTATTGTTAAGCTCATATTCATTTGTTTCTAATGTGTGTGTGTGTGTGTGTGTGTGTGTGTGTAAGGTTCTTCGTAAAATTTAGTGAAACATTTGCAAATAATATCTACAAGACTGGCCTCATCTCTTCATAGCATTTCCATCCTATTTTACCAAGAAGTCACACCAATCAAAGGATACTTAAGGCTTGCTTGGATACCCATTTGAAATCAATTATGGCACCAAGATCAAAGTTTTGCTAAAATTTATCCAAACACCATTAATTTTGCAAGACTCTATTTTGAAAAGCTATTTTTTTTTTCCCTTCATTTGAGACTGGAATCTCAGCATTTGAGCATTTTTCGTTTTCTTCCATCTTTATAGTTGATTTTGAAAAATTATTTAAATATCTTCAATTATCAACCTTACCTTTTAAGTGTTCTAAAACTTGTTAGCATTTAACTATCTACACAAATTTCTTTATTTTCGAAAAAGAAAAAGTTAGCGAGGGCCTTGTAAAAATGACCACGGGGAGTATAAGAATCTTTTACCTATACAGAGATTAAAAAAATAAATTAAATTAGTTATTTGCAATTAATGTATCAATAACTTATATTTTTTTTTTGAAATAGCTCCCGTTTAATAAGCTTATTTGTAGTGAATAAATAAATAAATATGGTAGGTAGAGGTAGATGGAATCTTACACCGAGAATGAGAATCAAGCCAAAATTCTTAATAGGCTGCTACATTCAGGATCAGATAAAATATTTATTATGTATGGGTATATATGATTTATTTCTTAAACCTTTCCTTCATCGGGATATCAATAAAATAGTGAGTTGATCTCAAATATATTAATTCCATCACATGGAAGCTTTGAGAAGGATGGCGTATCAAACAATTGACTGTTGTGAATGTAACAAATCCACGGATTGTGTATATTTCGGAATCTCCCCTTGATAAGAGAGCTGTTTGTTGTTTAGTATCACTGCTTCCATCCCAAATTATCATACTCATTATATTTTTTTTTAATATTCTTTCACAAATAAAATATTAAATAAATAATATTTTTTAATAATTTACATTTTTATTTTTTAAAAAATAAATTTATAAAATATATTTAATAATATTTATTAATATTTATTAATATATTTAATTTTATTTAAAATATTTTATAAATTGAGATGGAGTTAATATTTTATCATGTTTACTTTCCTCCAGCTACGTGGCTTACCTCTTTTGGGTCAACTATGTGGTTTGCTTTACAAACACCAAGGAGAAAATGGGAGAATCATGGATCAGTTTCCTTGAATAGGCCGCTCTTGTCGGTTGTGTTGGGCCAAGTTTAGTTTCTGGCTTAGCCCAAATCGATCACCTTTTAACTCATGGCCCCTTATCATATATTGGTCTCACTTTATCTGTAAACTTTTGATGGCTAGAAGTGGGAAAAAAACCCATTTCCAGGCCAGAATGGTAAAGGACGTTTCTACTTCGACGCCAATCTTTTTTTTTTTTTTTTTTTTTGCGTAGAAAGGTGAATATTATTCATATCAAAATAAGTGTACAAATAGAGGGCTTACTTCAAGACAAAATAAAAGGATAACAACTTGGACGCCAAATTTTACTACGCTAATTCTACCCAAAAAAGGAAGAAAAAGGTAAATATAACTTTTAATTTTTATATTTTACTCGCATTTTGCTTTTAATTGCTATATGTTTTTTTAATATTTTAAGTCTTTATACTTTTATTCTTTATTATTTTGAATTCTTTCAAGATCTCCATACTCTATTCATAGAGTGATTGAAAATAATAAAAAATAAAAATATATGAATCTAAAATATAAAAAAAATATAGAGATCAAATGTAAAATGTAAGTAAAATATATGAATTAAAAGTTATGTTTACCAAAAAAAATATGTTAATTATAATTTGGGGAGAATAGCATATAAAACTCCCAAATCAAAGAAACTAGCACTTGAAGCTTAATACATTTTGAATTTATTCTATAGGCCCGTGAGTCTTACATGCAAATATGTTATTGGTGAGAAGACTCATTTGCTGGTTGTTTGTAAAAATAACATCATGAGTATGATATTGTATTTGTGTGTATGGATCTTATCGTATTATATATGGATATTATATTACTCTCACACACAAAAAACTTATGTATTATTATTCAATTAAGTCACACGGACTAACAAATATTGTATTATTAATGTATGAATCTTGTTATATTATATATATAGCCATTATATTGTATATATGTCCAAGAGACTTGTACATTTTAAATGAAAGACAAATGTGTATTTTCACTTGAAAATATATTTGCATACAAGACCTCTAAGCTACATAATAAATTTAGAATGTATTGGGCCTTAAATAAAAACTTCTTTAATTTGGAGGCCTTAGGTGCCATTTTTCCAAAACTACAACGAAAATATGGATGGGTTAAAATTCACAATCTATCCTCTGAATTATCTTCTGAATTAAGTGGTTTATAATTACATGACTTATTTTAAAGCCAATTTTGCAACCCGGTTGAAGAAAAATTATCAGGATCATTTTTCAAAAGAATCTCTTCTCCTTCAAAAAATGAGTTTCCTGATTTTTTTTTAATAATTAAGTGTGGGTACCCAAGCCATATGCAGAAAACTTGTTTATAGTTGATATTAAAATAAAAATAGGGATCTTCGGGAGACCAAACCAATTGCAAGAAATATATGTGGATTAAATGCACGGCAACGTTTTCGTTCGTTCGTTCGTTCGATTTCCAAAGAGTGAAAGAGAGAGAGAGAGAGAGAGAGTCCGAGGACCACTATAAAGCACTAGTTTAAAGGTGGCTAGTATATGATTAATAATAAAAGCATGTTAAAGTTCATGAACGATATATTTTGAACGACCCAATTAGGAAGCTAGGAAATGCGTTACGATGTAATGCCTACTGTAATTTTGGTCAGTTACCATAATAAATGCGTTATTAATTAAGGAATTAAATTAATAAATAATGAACGATCAAACACGAGCTTATTAACGAAGGGATCACTCGCAAATCTAGCCGCACGTGGTTTAAAGGGTGGCCAGAACCAAAGCACGCAATGGTATAAGCTTCTTCTAACGCTAACAAGTAATCCACTAGCCTCGATCGTTCAGTTAACACACAAGCAACTCTAATTAAGCATTCTTAATTTCATTCTTTCTTTTTGTCTGTGTTTTGTTATCGGTTTAGAACATCCATACTGAATTTTGCAAAACTCAGCCTCACCGGAATTCATTGAGCCATTCCAAATACAAGAAGCTTTTATCTTAAAATAATTATAAATGAAAAAAACAACGATGAATGACGCTGAGGACTGGAGTCCACTCCATTGGCAACGTTGAGAAAACAAAAAATACGGATTAGTAGTTTAATCAAATCAGAATATGCGTTCCCTCGCCACTGGATTTCACAAAACTGCCTACCTGATTAAACTTGTTTAACCCATAAATCTTTTTTTTTTTTTTAGTTTTCCTTTTGAAAATTACTTTGGAGATTAGTGGTGTAAGCGCTTTAATTTGAACAAACTATTATTTCTATTTGAAGTGGAAAATAACCCATCTTGGGTTTGGTGGGTTCATTCAATGGATTTTGATATTGCAAAGCAATAACGTAATCTTTCATGACGGCTCGCGCTTTTGAGTTTGTACCTTCTATAAAAGGCATTTGCTCCCATTTAAATAAATTGATAATACTAAATATCACATCGTTGTATTAAGCCAATTTTTTATATTATATATTTTCAATACAGATCATCAATAAAGGGTAACAAATAAGTAAAGTGATTAAAAAGAAAAAATATTCATGATTTATTTTAATATATATCAATTTTGAATTGTTCCTTAAAAGCTGATAAAATATTCTGAAAGTCAATATTGGGGTGTTTTAATATAATTAATTCCAGTTTTGGAGCTGCAAAACTAGAAGACCAACTCCAGATTACCTTTTTTTTTTTTTCCTTTCTAAAACTTTGCTAGTTTTAATAGTCAACTTGGACTTAAAGAGGTTAAAGTATCTTTTCAAATAATCTATCGTCAATAATGGTCATGAAGATTTGAATCTAACAGTGAAATATGGACAGATACGCACAAACACGAGAAAAAGACAGGATGGTTTAGCTTTTGGGCTAAATAAAGCTTTCTTAACTTGGTCTTGTGAGTTGAGTTAACAAAGGCTAATCATGCTTACCTAATTGTAATCTATCTCTGCTCATTGGTCTTCAACATTTAAATGACAACGCAGTTGCAACTAAAGTAACACCATGCAAGTCACCCAAGAATTAATTAGACCCACCTTAATAATATATTATATAATCTTAAAATTAACCACACGTTATGTGCATAAACAATCACAGCTATATAACCTGGCCAAAATATAGTAATATTCATTTTTATGTAAATTAACAGAATGTTCTCCTACATTGTTTAACTTTCCTCCCGAGTTTTCCTGGCTGAACTCGTGATTAAACCTAATTATAATCATAGCTAGACTTCCTACCTAAAAATATGTTGCCATGAAGTTAATTAATTAATTCAAATTTATTCCTAAAATTCGTCAGAGTAAATGCTACCGGATGTGGTTTCATAGAAGAACTAATTTTAACTTGACAAGAAATGTTGGTATAAATTTTATTTCTTAATAAAATAGTAAGTAAATGCTTTTTTATATTTAATGCACACAATTATTTTGGAAAATGATATAAATGTCACATTTTTATCAATATATATATATATATATTTAATTTCTTTCCCTTTTACTCTGATAATAATGCACCATGTTTATTATCTATATGGAGGTGGGCCTTCCCGTCAAGTGGAGCACTGGTCACAGGCTAAAGCTTTGACAGGTAGTGAGGAGACAAAAAGACAAGAAATCAAAGGGAGTAAGATTTTCTTATTGATTATCAGGGTCCGAATAATCCGAACTGTACAAAAACTACTACTGAGCAAAATGGTCTAACGTTAATCACCAAATTTCCAACTAATGACGTTGGTTTATCACCATTAAGTACATACTTAATTAACGCAAAATCGCAGTGAGATTTCTTTTTCCATATCCATTATTCAAATCCTTTCAGCCACCCACTTTCCTTAATGCATTCATTTGGTGGATTTCACAGTCCCTCAACAACCGTTTCGTGTTGCCTAAACTAAACTTGCTGATAATGATTCCCCGTCATATGTTATGTAGCAGACCCACTCCACCATGCATTTAACAATAATAACTAAATTTGTCAATAATTTAATTATATGATTTTCCAGAATTACTCTTAAAAATTATTAAGATCCCACTCTCAATTTTTTCCACCTAATTAACGAATCTATCTACACCTAAATAATGACTTGAGTTTGATATTAGGAAGATGTGGGAAAACTTGAGTTTGATAATTACATGTATTTAGAATATTCTAATTAAAAATATATTTGCACGGTGGAAAACTCGCATGCCTTCTCTCTGCACTTGGAATCATGGGTGCGGTATATAAAGGATAACCTTTTCCGTAGACAAGAAAAAAGGACTTCTTTTTCTATTCTAATTAAGTTGTTGCTGGCAAAACCTTGGGTAGGAAAAATACAAACGGAAAACTACGTTCTGATTTTCTTTCTACTTTCTTTGCCTTTCCTGATCGGACCTTTTCACCCCACTTCCTTCATTGACATGTTTGTTTAATTGTTTGAGTGGGTATATATATACTTCCACCCCAGAAACCACTCGATAGAGATTTGTGCGACTCCTTTGTCCCCTTCTGAGTAGATCATCGGAATGGGCAGGAAATGCTCGTACTGTGGAAACCTGGGTCACAATTCGAGGACTTGTAATATTATTCAGAGAGGTGGCCTTGATGGTGTTGGTGGTGGCCTCAAGATCTTCGGGGTGCAATTATTTGATCCTCTTCCTCCTCTTCCTTCTTCTTCACCTACTAGTTACGGTCATGGCATGAAAGGAAGTTTCAGCTTGGACTGCTTGCCGTCTTCCCAGAACGCCTTCATGCCTACCACTTCTCCCTCCTCCTCCTCCTGCTCCTCACGTTCTCTGCTTGAACTCAACGACAATTCAGATCATAAAATGTCTGATTCTTATCTAGCCGGAACCCTAAGGAAGAATAAAGGTGAAGCATAAAATACAAAGCACCTCATCACCTTATATATATATATATATATATATATGCGTGCGTGCGTGTCTGGTGCTTTGTTTTTTTAATGATTCTGTGTATATATTTGTGGTCAGGAGTGCCATGGACGGAGGAGGAGCACCGGATATTTCTGACAGGGCTGAAGAAGCTGGGGAAGGGTGACTGGAGAGGCATCTCTAAGAACTTTGTGACAACAAGAACACCAACCCAAGTGGCCAGTCATGCACAGAAATATTTCCTCCGTCAGAATCACGCCAAGAAAAGAAAGCGCTATCAAACCCTCCTTCATGTTAGTACTTGATCGGTTCATTACTTCTTCACCCAATCGCTAGCTTCTTAATTGTTTTTAAGTGTCAGAAATGTCTCATATATGTGGCGTGGCAGGTGGTGGGGGGACAGAATAATAACACAGTGAAAGCAGTAACAAATTCTTGCTCAGCTGTTGGTGCTTCTGAGACTATGAACATGGATGTCGGTTGCAGCAGCCACAGCAATAGCACAAGGATGTGTCTCTCACGGTGGCTTTCAAGTTATCATTCAGTGCTTAATTGGGCTGCCTCTTCACCAAAGTGCGCTACTTTTCAAGGCTTAGAACCTGATTTAGAACTCAAACTAGCGACTCCGCGCCTTCTTTAAGTTTAATTAAGTTGACGTGTAATAGTACATGGACTAAGCATAATGTTACGAGATTGTAATTCTTGTTCTGCTACGTGTGCATATGTATTATCATTAACTTTAAGCATTATGCATATTTTAATTTCTATGTGCCTTTTCCTGTGAGATCTACGCCAGCAAAGCCATGTAAATAAGATTAAAGTGCATTTTTTTCCTAATACTTTCTTTGAGTAGTGATGGGCATCATGCATTAATAAGTGAGATATTTTCTCTCATAAATCACTTTTCAGAAGAGCAAAAATCCCCCTTCATCTTCTAAAAAGTGGTTTAGGGAGAAAAATATCCCACTTATTAATACATGATAACCAATGCTCTTTGAAGAAAAGTACAAAAACAAGAATACACTTTAATTTAAAAATAAATATTAGTGATTATTTTAATTTAAATGTTGACTACTTTTCTTCTAACAATAACTAGAAGGGAACAAATAATTATAACTTACCCTCTACAAATAAGCAATTACAACTTCTTATTTGTAGAGGAAAAGTTGTAATTAAATGTTTTATTCTGGTTATTGTTAATCAAAAAGTAGTCATTATTTAAACTAAAATAGTCACAGATATTTATAACATTTGGACTTCAGTGAATAAAAAATTTACTCAAAGAAAGTTATAATTAGTTGTTTTATACTGATCATTATCAGAAGAAAAGTAATCATTGCTTAAATTAAAGTAATTACTAATGTTTATTTATTTTTATTTTAAACTAGGAGTATTTCAGTTATTTCACAAAAAATCATTAATTTCTAAAAGACCCTTAGGACTAAAATCATGATATTTTGTGAAATCTCATTTTCATTTGCATATTTTAGGAGGTTAAAGTGTATTTTTGTTCATATACTTTTCTTTAGGAGCGTTGGACACCTTAACGGATCTAAAATCCCTCTCCATTAATGGATCACTAATTGAGGAGGATTTTTGCTCCTTTGAGCAATGGTTTAAGGAAAAAAATGTCCCACTTGTTAATAGAAGGTGCCGAGCGCTACTCAAAGGAAAGTATATAAAAACAAAAATACACTTTAACCTTATATGTATATATATATCATTATATATCATTGCATCTGTTTTCCAAGGAGCACTTAAAACTAGGAGTCATGGTTAATGTATTAGACAATATGAATCAGACATGATTTACTGTAAAATTTCTTCCAAGTTTGACGCTAATATGCAGCTTTGGCAAGTATAACATCCTTTAGCAAAGAGAAAAAGGTAGGTCCAATGTCCATATATACATATTACACCAGGAAATATGCATTTATTATTTTTTTTAATACAAATACCGCGGAACCATGTAAGAAAATTAATTATGATCATATAACTCAATAACTCATATTACACACGTCAGCTAAAATTAAAGGAAGTTCTTACACCCAACAAGAAGAGTGTTCAGAATCCTACATGCACTTCATATAGACCAGTCGCTTGTGATAAACTTTGAGTTTTTTGTTTTTTTGAATATATAGAACCTAAGAGTGGATGGGTCAAGCCTTTTTACGTTATATTAATTGTTAAATCTAACTTTACCTAACCTAACAATCTCTCTTATAAATATAAATTTACAAGCTTCCAATATCAAAGACAGCTCAAACAAAAAGTTCTTATCGGGCTAACCCAATTTTCAAGTTTTAAATAGTATAGCACACATAAGTCCTCATTGCATGTAGGGTGATTTCATTTTAGGCATTAAATGTGTACGCAATAACAAACTTTCAAGTCCCGGTGAAATCTTCTACAATACCTTTTATTAGAAATAGAGAGTGATTGTCCGGGAAAAAAAGAAGAGGAGAAATAAGCAAGAGTAATGGAATAACACCATATATTAACTTATAATTTTGAGACTTAAGTTTATAAGTATTTTTTTATTTTATATTAATTATTAAATTTAATTTTATTTGATGTGAGACTTCTTACATGTCACTTAAATAACCTAATATAATTACAATACATGAGCCTCAAGGCTTTAGCATAGTTACTTAAAAAAAAAAAAAATCCTTTTTGAGGACTTGCTTCTGCAAATCATGTTAAAAAAAATTCTATTTTTTGAAAACCTATCTACAAAACCTAATAACAATGAAAAAGTCAATTTAGAAAAAAGAAAGTGCAAGCTGTTTTAACAGTCAAAAAATCAATTAGAAAAATATACTTTTGATACACTGCAAACCCAACGCACGCTTATTCTTGTGAGAATACCTAAAAGTTTAGATATACATGTTCTTTTAATCTAGTCTTATTTACGAGAAACAAATACTTTTTGTTTAATGCATTTATTAAAAAAATTCCTCTTATATTCTCATTAATAAATGAGCATCACTTAATAAATCACTAATCAATTTCATTAATATAATTGTGGAATAAAATTAAAGAGAGTATTTTTGAAAATAAAATTACATCTCTAACATATATATTTATAGCTTCTGGCTTATTATTAACTATTTTTCTTGATCATGATGAATTAAGTATTTTTTTTCTTATAATTAAAAAGGACCATGGTATAACAACAACAACAACACACCCTATGTGAGAATATTAATATTGTCTATGATTAAAGAAAATAAAAATTATTTTTTTTTATCTCTATAGTTTGGATCCACTTCAAATTTAATCTCATAAATATGACTTTGTACAATTTAATCCTTATACTTTTGACTCAGTTAAAATTTGATCTCCACCCCTTCCATCATTTATAATTTTATTAACTCACCCTTGAGTCATTAGTGAGCCATCCTAGATAGCACAAAACATTATGAATCAGCACCGGTATGAACACATCAGGGAAAAATAAACAAAAAAGAAGGCTAAAGGCCGATGGCTCCGTCTCTGGCATCCTGGTTGACTACTCCCTCCATACCAGACGCGATTCTCGTTCTTCTTCGTACAAAATAAAGGCTTTTCATTTGGTTCACTCTAAACCCATGACTCAGATCCTTATCTTCATCTTTAAAGAAGAAGAAGCTATCATAGGCTCACATCTTTAAACGAGGGGACGGTGATAAGATTTGTTTGATTTCTGAGGTAGTGGAAGGTTATTTACGTGACTACTAAAAATCTGCCACTGCAAAAGCCGCTGAATCATAACTTGCCTTATGCTGCTCCTAATAAGTTCAATTATCTACTTCAGGATATTAGGTTGGTTGTTTCACTTTTATTCGGCTTTGTATCTTTTATGCGTTTTCACCTTCTTTTTTAAACTTGACAATTTTAACGCAGACACGTACTGATGTACCTAAATACACCCAAGCACGTGTTTATTTAAATTTGTGACCTTCCTCACAAGAGAGTTTCGTGCTACTAGATTGAAGGATCTTGGGAAATTGTACGTCTTCACTAATGGTTTCTGCATGTCAGATAGTTTATACAATAATAGTTTAAAATAATCAGTGCTCCTCACAATAATTTAGGGGCAAAAATACTTTTGTACTGAAGAAAAATCACTTTAATTGGTATCTAAGCAATTTCAAGTATCGTCTTTATCAATGTGAACACGAGAAGTTGAACTAAAAATGTCTACCTGTTTGTTCATAGTAGCAAGGCAGACCATTAGAACTTTGCTCTCTATTCATAAAACGCTTTAGTTAAATTATAAATTGAGCAGATGAGATTAAAAAAATCCTCATTAAAACAACCAATTGAAGGGGGTATATTAAACACACACTTGCATCAAGAATGCATTTGAAAAACCACAGCCAAAATAATACAATTGAGAGCGGGGACGAGGCTACAAAAAAATTGATATATTCAAATTGCGCTAGCAGAAATTACCAAGCACGATGGGCAATTAAAATTTCAAATTACATGATAAAAAAGAAAAAGAAAACCATATGATACATTTACTAACACCCCCTGCCAACCCAAAAACAAAAACAAAACCAAAAAGAAAGAAAGAAAGAATGTAGATTACAAGAATGAATATCTGCTCCATAACTTCATCCGTAAGCCTTCTTGTCAGTAAAGTTTCTTGAACTATTTTATCCTCCCTCTTCCCCTGTTCTTCCATTACTGGGGTTTCGATGAGTTGCTTGATCGCTGCGGTCAGTTACGTATACAAACTGTTCATCGCAGAAAGAGTTCAAGCGACTCGAGAAAAAAGTTTATAGTTAGTTAGGTTAATTTCTTCTAGACACCGTGGAGAACCCCGTCAAAACTTTGACATGCAATTCCGGAAATCCTTGGTTCCATCATAGTGCTAAGAATCATGTGATTCTTGGTCCATCAAAATGATGCGCTGCTTGCCACTCTCTGACCGGAGGGTATCAACCTTAAATCCAATCTACATTCAGAAAGGACATATAAGACATCTTATCCAGCGGATATATCAGTTAAAAAGTGAAAACTTTATAATAAAGAATCACCTCCACTAAACTGTCAGGAGAGAACCACCTCAATAGTACCCCAAGATGCACGACAGCAGGGATTAGCTTGAAAAGTAACGGAGTAGTAACCTGCAGAAATGACGTAAGAAAGTTATTAATGGGATTATAACTTTAAAAAAGACATCAATACCGCTAAGCACTGAAATAATATCAAAGGGTTTGGTATAATGTGAAGTTAGGTGTGTGATGTGTATGTTGTTTTCAACATTCATTGTGGATCAAACATCTAAGAAAGGGGGGAAGACTACGTACATCTCAGTACCTGTTAATTCAAACAAACAAAAAATATTACATACCAGACTTAGAGCCGTGGTCCCAAGAAGCAGCAGATACAGTTTGCCCTGAAAATATATTTACATTAAAGTCCACAGTGATTCATGATATTTACACATTCAAGTTTCAATGTGCATCAGCAAATCAGGATTTAACAGATCCAGATTGTCCCAACATGTTAACTAAGAATTTCAAAGGGATTAGAAATATGATGGCTACAGCCCCCGCAATCGCAGCAAGGTCATTTCTTTTACGTAATGACAACATGATGCGACTGAAAACTTTATCATCAGAAGATGAAAAGCCATTTTCGCACTAACCTCCACTAGATGAAGATTCGAAGCACGGCTGAGAAGAACAAAAGCAAATTCTCCTATTTGAGCCATTGACATTCCAACCTATAAATGTTTATGAATTCATGTACCTCAAATACTAGAAGATGGAAAGATAGCATTATAACCTTCAAATCACTAAATATTTCTTACAAGAACCGCAGTCTTGTTGTTATAACCAAACCCTTTTACGACAGCAGCAACTACAACAGTTTTTACAACGATCACCAAAATTACAGAGGCTAGCAATATATCAACATGATTCCAGAGGAAGTGAACATGGATCAGCATTCCAATGCTGGCAAGGAAAAGAGCAGCAAAAAGATTGCGAATAGGTTCAATCTGCAAAATTATTGAGCAACAGGGGTCAGGTTCCTTCCAGAAACATATATATATATATATATATATATATGAACACCAAACATTCTTGTTCCTAATCGGCAAAGTTTTGCCAATTTTCTCATACAGATGAAAAAGAAGATTGTACAACTAATATCAACAATAACAGAAAAAAGGAGAGGGGATATCAAGGTATGTAGATAAAAGAAAATGCATGTGCCTAATATATAAATCTCTACAATTTTAACCTGCACATGCTGAGAAAATCATCCAGCATGCATGATTGATGACCGCAAAGCTTGTTAAAAAATTTCACTTGCAGACATCTCTCTCTCACTCTCTATACAAGCCATTCTATCATGCACTGGGCGGGGGATGTAAGATAGAGAGCCAGGATTACATCTAAAGGCATGGAACCCACATGGACCTGCATATGGCTAACGGGCAAGTTCTCTAAATAGGAAGAAATTGAGGTAGAGATAAATACGGGCAACTGGGAAAGTGCTCTAAATATTAATCAATAGGAAGAAGTCTAATATTGAAGAAACTCTAGGGCTATTAATAAAGCCCTAGCTGCAATTATTTAAAACAACAATAATCTAATTGTAATGAAACTTAAAAGATAAGATAGAGAAGAAATAAAAGACAAATATTAATAAATCCTAATCCAACTAAAATCCTAGGTTTTCAAATTATAATTAAACATAATTATAAAATAACTCAAAATTCTAGATTTTCTATGTCTATATGTCTTGCAGATTTCCACCTACAATTTATTAAGATAAGCAGACCATGTCTCCCAAAAATATATATATATATATATATATATAGCTTAACAGAGACGTGACAAATTCCGGACATACTTCATACTCATAATAATTTCTGAATTTGGACATGCATCCTTACTTGCTCTAGTGTATGTTGAGCCAGATCAGTGGTTGAAATCATAACTCCAGCAGCAAAAGAACCCAATTCTAGACTAAGTCCCAGCTTATCACTACACTGAAAATATAAAAACAATCAGTTACTAGCAACTTGACATGAAGTAGAATGGATATATAGTATTTGCGCCAGGGGGGGGGGGATTATTAGATACTAATCTTAAGCCAAGGGAGGAAGTGCATTCCAGACACTTGAGTCTCTATTCTTAACAGTCCACAAATGGAAAGCATATAGTGCAGTAAGAAAGGCAGAGAGAACAACCAAGAAAACGGAAGGAAGGTGTTAAGAGAGGAAGTGGATCCCATATATACTCCCACTTTTCTATCGTTCTCTATCTCTAACAGCACAACGACAGTGGAATGAAAATTTAGGAAGTGAACAAACCCATGCTACAAGTAAGCAGAATGCAACTGATGCCAACTGATAGAGTTCATTCGTCTGCACAAAACAGGAGTATATCATAATACTACTCAAACAAAAATACATAACCAAACGGTAAAACTTTCTGAAGAACCTAATTCCAAGTCAATTTTCGTAAGTGATGGTAAGCTTCAAGTAGGATATAATACAGACCTGTGATGATAGGCTCATCATTAGTTTAAGCAACCATGGAAGGAAAGTACGAGACAAAATTGACAGAACTGAGAGGAAAGCAATCAACATCACCAACCTGTATAAGGAAAGGCTTATCACGGAAATGTCACATAAAAGCTCTAGAGGGTATGGTATGTTAGATATTTGATTGAATACACAATCAACTGAACTGATCAAACATTTTAAAGAGGTGCCAAGCTATTTCAACTTCACAGATATGTCAAATTTGTCACCTTAAATTTGAATTCCAGGCACAGGAAAGGTAGTGATTTGTTAAACAAAACAAACCCTATATCAAAGTCAAATCACCATATAAAACATACAAAAATATGTGCCACTGAATAGTTCATGTTAACAGAAACACATTTCCAAACTTCAAAGGATCAGACCCAAGTATATTTGTTCTATTAGATTAAGGCGCTCCTCACTTCAATATATGAGAAGTTAGATTAAGTGATTAAGGCACCATGAAATTCAAAAGTTATGATGACTATAACTATATACAGATAAGGAGAAATATTTAAAGCTGCTTAAAGAATAAATTATAATTACTTTAATTTGGGTGCAAGAGGTCAAGTTGTGAAAGATTCAATAAAAGCCGAAGATTTCAGAATTTCTATACTTACAGCTTTGTCATGGACATCATCCCATGAAGAACACCTGAAGTGCCACCAAGAACAGGAAGCAATGCAAACAGCAGTCCAACAGCACAATCCTTTATGGCAAAAGAACTTTACAAGAATTAATTGAACATATGATGAACTTGTTCATTGTCTATATTCGCAAAATAGAGGATGCAGGAAAGAAGAAAGAATAAGAAAGAAGAAAAATAGTTGCATTCACAAAAAAAAGACAAAGTACACACATGAGAAAGAAGAAAAATAGTAATTCACAAAAGATAAAAATACCTGCAAAATAAGCGTCCCAATCGTGACTTGCCCATGAAGAACGTTAGTAGTGTTCTTTTCCATCAAAAACTTTAAGACCTGGACATGGTTAATTGTCAAGAAAACAAACAATTTATGGGAATCCTGAAATGCATCTTTGACACTGCAATATGGGATAGGAATAAGATATGATAAAGGCTATACCACTGCAGTTGAAGACATAGAAAGAAAAGAACCAACAACACTCCCTCTGAAGCTTTACCACCACATAACTGAAAATAGCACAACAAGGGAGATGGAGTTCAGAATGCCAAACATCAAAGTCCACCTGTGCTTATAATAGAGATATTAATTATTAGAATAAAAAATTGAGGACTAATATCCTCTGAAAATGCAACGCCAAACAATCAAATCATGCATGAGATATAAGGTGGAAAATAAGTAACAAAATGACAGCACCAGCTCCCATCAGAATTTATTACTAAGTTGATCATAATACCACTACTTAAGGTTAAAATATTTTGAACAATATTTTGCTAAAAAAAAAAAAACACACTTTTTTCCGTTTCTATATTACCTTTCAATCAAGCATTCCACATTTCCATGAGCATCAAGCATCACAAAGCTTGTAAAATATAGAAGAGAAAATATCGCAGAAAGAAGATAGATGGACAAGAAGATGCAAAGACTTGTACATTCTTTATATAACTCAATTTTGCCCACAAAATGTGGATTACTGTTAGAACTAGCAATTTTGAAATAATTTGGGGCCTTTCAAGGAATTTAGCCTTCCAACTTACCAAAGTAGAAACCTTTGATTCAATTAACAAGCACGTAAGGTTTCAAATTAATCAATAAGTAGCTTACCATTTGGTTTCTGAATCAGAGTTTCTTTGTATCAAAAGGATGACAAAAATTTACTCAAAAAGAAAAGGGACAATCAAAAGGCAACTTGAGTAGTTAATAAATAAGATAGCAACAAAAAATATGGCATGAATGAGAGCAGAAGACTTGTGATGATAAAAGTGGCTTTCTACGGTTTGAATGTCATGATTAGTTATGGAACGTGAGAAGAAGAGTGACAAAGAGAAAGCTCAGAGTGTAAATTAAAAACATAAAAACAATACCAAGGCCGCAACTCCACACAAGCACATAAATAAAAAAATTTGAAGTAGGCCTCCTAGAACAGCAACTGCTCGAACAACTCGAAGCTGAAATTTTAGAGGTACAAGGCATTTAATTCAGAGTCAGTTACCGCATAAACTGCATAAAAATGAAAGAAAAGTAATCAGAAGCATAAGCCAACCTTGGTCATGGAGAACTCCAGGCCCAATGCAAACAGAAGAAATACTACACCAAATTGAGCCACAGTTTCCACCTACACACATATGTGGTATTTATTTCAATTTAAGGACAACTAATTAAAGGTAATATGTACCATAACTCATAATTACAAGCATGCCATGAGAATGGTGGGCAATATACATTTGAGAAAAGTTCCAGAGCGAATAAGACAGATGTTCTTTCAAATCCTGATAAGTACTACAATCATATTATGACATGTCCCTTTTAGATGTTTGCATGACACTTTCGTATTTTGTTCCTGATAACTTTCTCATTTGCTATGCTATGTGTGGTCAAGTGTAAATAAATAAAAGCCAAATGGACGTGAAATAGAGCTTCAAGATTGTCACACAACTACCCAAGCATTTAGTTAAGTGTTATAATTGTCGTTTCTCAAGCATTAAGAACTTTGCAATAACAAAGTCCAGCTAAAGTGAATCCAAGATGTAGACAGACCCATCTAAATACAAGCAAAAAGGAAAGGAAATCTTTGACATTTCTTTTACCTGTACCATTTCACTGATGAAGTTAAAACCCCCAGGTCCAACTATAGAGCCTGCGAGCAGATATCCAGTAATAACCTGTAAAATCATAGTTTGGGGTTGTTATTTTAGAGTTTCAACAAAAAGATGTTACAACAAAACCAAAGATTGCAGTTCTCAAGATTTAAGTTCAGAACAAGAATGTTCAGACCGGTTGTCCAGCAAAGGCAAATGCAACACCACCACAAGTTGCTGAAACAATTGCAACTACAAGGTCTGAAATTAATCTACAACACAATATTGAAAACAAGTTCACATCAGTAATCAAGTCCACCCACTCTGAAAAAAAGAGAAAGTTCATTACATTTACCTTAAATCTAGCTGCAGCACTGGATACTTGGATTTAAAGTTAGAAATTATGAAGACATTATTAACTTTATTTAAAAAATAAATTTTAATCTTACTTCTATTAAATATATATACATATATATTTTAATCATATATTTTCTCCTTCCAACATTTAATGAAGGATAAAAAAATTTATAATAAAAATGTAATAATATAATTTATAAATAAAACTAAATAGGATCAGAGAAAATATTTTTTTACATTTTTATTACCACAATGAGAATACCAGGCGCTGGCATTCTATAAAGTTCATAATATTGAAATTGAAAGTATATTTAAATGGTTAATTTATAAAAATTTTAATAATAAATTAAATCATTCAAATTATATCTATATTATTTAAAATACATTTAAATAATCAACTTAAATAATTAAAATTTTTTAAATTAAGTTAGTCAATCTAAACTAAATTTATATTAGCTAAATTGATGATGGACAAATTTATTAAAAAATTTAACTTTGATAAAAATAAAAAAAAAACTTTAAGTTTGAACAGTCTAAAACTCATGGTGATGAGTAATCCAGCGCTCACCCTCTGATAAGTACCGAAAACAATCTAAATTCAATATTAAATTCTTTTATAATTTTTTATCTTAGTAAATACAGTATCAAAAATTCCTAAAAATTAATTGAAAATGAATGGTAGATATTATTTTGAGATAAATTGTAGGGCTTGGATTATCTCTCAGCCTGATGAGCACTAATTGCAATCGTGAATATCATATATCTTAAATTTATACCTCTAGAATTACTTCACAGTATAGTAAATTAATTTTGTTATTTTAAATATATAGATTTGATTCTTTAATAATTCTTCCATAAATTATGTCTTATGAAATTTTTGATTTAAAAAAATAAATTGTTAAATTTTTTTTTTACTTCCATATTTAAAATATAATCATCATTTCTTATAATATAGGAAGTTCATTTTTTATAGAAAAATTGATGAAAATTTTCCAGTAATATATATATATATATATATATATATCAAAATGTTGACAACAAGAATACCATTTTTAGTTGAATTTAAGGATGTTCATGGGACATGATGGGATCAGAACACTCTTGTCTTGAAAAAAAAAAATTAGAAGTGTCAAAGTTTGAATAATAACATTCATTAACATTTTAAATCACATAATTTATTAAGTTTAAAATTAAAACAACACAAATGCAAAAATTACAAAGATTTAAAATCAATTATTGAATTACATAAATCACAATTATAAATATATAACTCATTATGATAGCAATTACAAGTGATCTCTAAGCTATAAGAGCAATAACAACAGACAAGTTCGGCATAACATCAAGTTATCGTCATTCTTCATTAATTGAAATATGTTAAGCTAATTATGCAGTTGAAAATAAAGCAAGAAATATGGTACTCCCTTCATTTAAAAATGTAAGGCATTTTTAACTAAAATCTCAGCCCCCAATAAAGTAGTTACCTATTTTCAAACTAACTATATCTTTTCATATTTACCTCTATTAAACACTTACAATAAATATAAAATTACTATCAATAAGGGCATTTTTGAAAAAAAAGATAATGATTACACCTCAAAAGATTAAAAATGTCTTATATTTTTGAACACCCAACTTCTAAAAATATGCCTTACATTTTTTTATGGGAGGAGGATAAAAATTTATTAAATAAATAGATATAATAATAAATTATATTAATATATTATAAAGAAAGATATTACCTTGTACTGCTTACTCTATATCATTAAAATTATCAATATAAAAAACTTAATTTTAAATAAAAATTGTACATATTAAAATTATAATTAATATAATTAATATATTTGTTTAAAATAAAAAATAATATATATAATATTCAGGATGGAACGTAATATACCGAAAGTAATCCCGTGTTCGGTCTGTTCGGTCCGTCTCACAAACTCCCATCCCAATATGACTAGGATGGAACTGGACTAATTAAGACGGATACAAGTTAAACATTCCTAATTGAATTGATAGCTGAAATTTTAAATTTTTTGTAATTAATTAAATTAAAATTGTATGAGAATATGAAGTTCTATATATTCATACATGTACGCGTCTAATGTTATATGCATCATGAGAAGGTACAAATTCCATCACAAAAAAAGTACGATTTCTCATAGCACTACCTTCAAAGTAGGATGCCGTTCCAGTGGGGAGAAAAGGATTACCATTTTAGGGGGGAAATGAACAATGTAAGTTTTGCATAAGATGATAGATTCTTCGTAAGTGATTAATAATGCATTTTATTATAAGTGGCTCCAGGAAATAAATCAACACCACCATCTAAAGGAGGACCCATGCCCATATAAATGATGTACCATACAAAAAATGATAGATTAAAAAAAAAAAAAACGGGAGTTGAGACAGGGAGAGCTAAGGTGATGTTCTTGTTAATAGCTGAATTTATTAGAATAGCCCTTCACATCCGACCCTGAATTACGAGAGAAGAGGCACAAGTGCCTTCGGGTCGGACCCTGTTCGGTTCATATCGGAATGGTTGAAAGCTCCCTGATGGTCTGTCGCCACTAATAAGCGTGAACATGAGCATCTCATTGCCTCCACCTCCATGTCAATTGTCTTCCATCCGAATTTATTTGTGTTTGAAATGCTGCTGAAATCCAGGATGTCCATTATGTGATTTACTTCGTCACGCTTTCAAATGAAGCAAACAACCCTTGTTTTGGTTGATAACGTCCACCGATCAAAGGGATGACAAATTCTTGACGTCGTGTTAGGCACATTTTGTTTTATCATCTCACGAAAATGAGCAAAATAGAGAAACCTGCATGTTCCATGTTTCTCAGCTAAACTAAACGAGTTCTCCTTCAAACAGATGAACATTCATGTTCTTCAGTGGTTTTTTACCCCGAATGATGAGATAATGCAGTTTGTCATCACATCCTTGAAAAAGTCATCACTCCTGAAGTTTCGGTGAGTGTTTAAGAACCATGCACATATGGCTTCCATCAAACGGTCATTCACCATATGTCGTGGAAGAGTTGAACTTGGATTGCAGAGCCTTTCAACATTTGCTCTCAAATTGATCTCAATTTTGCACTTTTTCTACGCCATATATGGCAGATCTAAATCTTCTTCTATGGCTAGAGAAACCACTAAAACAGAGAAAGTGGAAAAGCACAGTGAATTCCACTACTCTTACCCTTCAATGTCTCCTCTAATCACTTGAGAATCTGTTAACACGTGGCATTTCATCTTTATAAGAAAAAATTTTGAGAGAAAGACCAGCCTATTATAATCCATGTCATCTGAAAAAAGGAAAAATCAGTTCATGTATTGTCACGTGATTAACTTGCCACTATCTATTTGAAGGATGGCCAGCGATGATTTTGGAAGATGTTGAGCGAGTTGATTGAATGCTTCAAATTAAATAATTATCTATAATTCATAATATTTATGTAGTCTCCATTTTCCCATTAGCGGATATGAACAAGCAACTCAAATCTGTTACACCATACCTCCTTTTTTTGACCGAATTAATACTGTACCTCCTTTATAAGGGGGCAAAACTATAAACTGAAGTTCAATTTATACAGAAACATTATTTTCCAGATAATGATTTGGAAACTCTAGTGACGGACCTTTTCTGGGATAGTTAAACCACAGGCTAATCTGGAATTGCAGAGCATCTTATTCAAACTTTGAACTTTGTCTCATATCGATCAAACATCTATTCGAGAGATTGACTATAGAATCTGCAATGACTGTTGCACTGGACTTCATGTAACCACCTGAAATTGGAGACCGACTAAACATCATAATAAGTTGACAAAATACTTTAAAGGAAGTTTTCCTGTGAGAGATCGTCAGCAAGTTCTGCAATGATTAACCTTGGCCCCAAAGATACAATGACTTCCGCACAAAACATGGAAAAAATATAAAGATCAGGATAAAACCCTATGCTCAAATTTGATGCTGAAACAGTCCTAAAATCTTCATATATAATATACAAAAGGAATAAATATGGTCATTCAGCAGTGACTTCAAAATAAGACTATATTTGCTACAAAACAGGCACATTTTAATGTGAATGGAATTTTTAGGTTCAAGTCATTTTTGAGTGAAAGAAGGTGTTCATGGCTATGTGCCAAAGAAAAAGGTTTTCAAGGCCCTCGTGGTTCGTATTATGTTTTGGAGAAGGAAAAGGGGATGGGGACAATGACCTGATGTGAGCATGACAATAGGAATCTTCTTCCCATGGGCAAATTGAAAAACTTTTTCATTTCTAAGGGCGATTCCTTCAGGACTGATCTGCATGTACAAACCAGTACAATAAACTCCAATGGTGAATTATGAAAAATCCAAAAATAAACACAATCTCATAATAACAACTTATAATTTTCTCATAGAAAACCCATATCAAGGAAAAAATGACTAGGCTACTTAAGTTCTAGGGAGTTCATCTTATACTGCAACAAAATGAATCCATGAATGACATTACCTTCAACCTGCCCAATGGATCACCATCCAGAATGTCAGTTCCAGCATTATAAACTACAACACAGGATCAAACCTATGCTCAGCAATCTTAATTTACATGAGAAAGAACAAATCAATACACAATATAATCATTTTAAACCCTCAACAAAATATTCTGTCTACCCTTGCATGAGCAAAATATTAAAAATTGAATGGATATTCGTGATACTTGCTGCACAGAAAATTATTTAAGCTAACCAATAGAATAGGACATTCAAGGCTTCAGTCACAATGCAGTAATTAACATGCCTCAAGTGCTCTGTCTAATTTCTGCAGGTAATCCTTTGTATGTGTCCCACTCTGTCAAGGAAAGGGAAGAATTTTATCATTATAGAGGCAGATCAGAAAGAAACGTATATGTGATAAAATATTTTCACTCAATGAATATATATACCTTCACTTCAACTAACTGATTCATGTGTCTTCTGGCCTCATAATCCTAAGATGGAAAGTAGAATGGGAAAGTTAGGTGAATAACAGGCACATATCATAACACATGAACTTCTGAATTTAATTAAAAATTG